CTATAAAGCCCTAAATGGCTTGGGCCCAGGGTACTTGGAGGACCGCCTTTCCCCACATAATCCGCCCCACACACTCCGTTCATCCGGGACTAATCTGCTAGAGGTCCCCAAGTCTCACTTTGTGAGGACCTCTCAGAGGGCTTTTTCCATCGTCACCCCTTCCTCCTGGAATAACCTTTCTGCAGAGCTTCGCTCCTCTGCATCACTTGTCTCTTTCAAAAAAACTTTAAAAACGTATCTATTTCAGCTGGCATTTCCATCTTAAGTAATGGTACTTTTTTTTTCCCTTCTGCCCCATGTGTTTTTTATTGACCCCTGACTGATGTGTTCCTAACTTTTATATTGTAACAATTTTAACTTTTTTACTGTAAGCCACCTTGATCATATCTATGGAAAGGCGGGGTAAAAATAAAATTTATTTATTATTATTATTATTATTATTTAAGGGTGCTACTCTGCTGTTAGGACAGGGGCAGCAAATATGATGAGGGAAGCACTTGAGCTACTCTCATGTGGCAAAGGAAAGCTTGCAATGGGGAGAAAAATGAGAAAATCTGGAATCATATCTGGGGTGTAAGGACTAGATATGATGATGCTACATATTTGTTTTCCTGGCATGCTCTCAAACTGGTTCCAAACCTACATTAGTTAATATTAATTTCCTCTTGTAATCAATAGGAGTGTGGAAAGAAGAAGGAAAACCCAATACAAAAACAAAAGGAAAGATCCCCCAGTTCTGTTCTGATTGCTACAAACTGGTATGGCTTTAGGGGATGGACACAATGGAGTCACATGCCAAAGCATTATTTTGCTGTCTTGTAGTTGTTTTTATGTACCTTCAGGCCATTTCCACCTTATAGCGACCTTAAGGTGAACCTACGACAGGGTTTTCTTGGCAAGATTTGTTCAGAGGCAGGTTGCCTTTACTTTCCTCTGAGACTGAGAGAGTGTGACCTCCCCAAGATCATCCAGTAGGTTTACATGGCTGAACAGGGATTCAAACCCTGGTCTCCAGAGTTGTAGTCCAGTGCTCAAACCACAATACCATGCTGGTTCTCTGCTTCATAGTGGTTTTCTCTAAGGACATTATCATACCTGGATTTTAAATTACGATTTCATTTGGAGGGAAGTGGCATCAGTGATGCTAATCGCATGATGTCACTTCCCTCACATAGCTACCCCATCCCTGACCTGCTTCTTTCCATTCACAGAGGAAACCCATGAATTAGCTACCAATTGTGCAAAGTTCCCGGTGCAAAAAGCCATTTCTGGGGTATTTGCGCAATTGGCAGTCATCTGGTTTCATTGTCCCTTCCTCGTCCCTTCCCCTCCCCCTTTGCTATTTTTTAATATACTTTTCTGTTTTCCATGCAATTCTGGAGCTCTGACGCCCTGAAGTTTCAAAAAGTGGTTTTAAAAAAGCTTTCAACCGTGCTGCAGAGCTCCGTAATTGTGCAAAACACAGAAACAAATACTTAAGGCATGCTGGGTAAGGCATAAGGGAGAGGAGGGATTAAGGGACAGGACATGAAGGCAACACAATGGGAGCAGCAGCGCCTGTTGCATGAATTAAAGAAGTGGACTGGTGGCTGCTGTAAAATCAGAATGTTCCCATTTTATTTTTGATTACATGACTGTAGTGGGAAAGAAGTGAGAAAGGGCTTGGTGTGATAATCTCCTAAATCAAGAGAAAAAGTGACCTTTCACTGCAGTTAAAGGTGTGTCCACTGACTCTCAGGGCACAACCTAAGATAGCAATATGGACTATCTCAATTTCAATGAAACATATTGATTCATTTTAAGTTAAGACACTAAGGCTTGTATCCTGTTAGTCTCAACTAAAGTAAACCCCTTCAATCAATTGTTGAATGGTGAGTTGATACATGGAAAATGTTACAGATTCAATGGATCTTCTCTGGTCAGGACTAAAATAGGATTTAGGCATTTTATGTGTTTTCACATGTAGATTTGTGCAATTTTAAAATACAATATCTGTAATACAGCCATTTATTTATGCATTGACTCTGATTCGTTCATTTTTCCAATTGACTTCACTATATTTATGCATATTTTTTTAGTTGAAAGCATCTTAGATATTCATACTTTAAAATGTGCACATTAGTGTCAGATGCAATGAAATTCTTTTCCATATGTGATCTGAAGACACAGGAATAGACCATTTCACCAAAGCTAAGGTGATCAGTGCTTAGACAGATGACTGTTGTCCCATATATGCCACCTGGAAATCTGCATAGGAGAAATACAGAATATTAATATGCTACATAAATAAATAATCCACTGAGTGGATTATCCACAATGAAACCAAGCTTGCAGGATTTTAAAAGGCTTGCTTAAATAACAATGTTTTTGCCTACCAGCAAAAGGCCAGCAGTGAAGGAGCCAGTCTAGCCTCCCATGGAAGGGACTTCCACAGGGTGGAAGCAGCCACTTTGTCTTCACCAAATGAGCGTGGGATGGTGATGTGACTGAGAGAAAGCCTTCTCCTGATGATCTTAGGGCTCTAGGTGATTCATATGGGGAGATACAGAGTCTGCACCTAAGTTGTGTAGTGCTTGAATTGTACTCAGAAACAAACTGGTAGCCATTGAAGCTGTTTCAATACAGGAGTTTTGTGCTCCCTATAATTGGCTCTGGTCAATTATGTGTTTCCTATAATTGGCTCCCTATAATTGGCTTCTAGCTGCAGCATTTTGGACCCACTGAAGTTTCTGAACAGTTTCCAAAGGCAGCCCCACAAAGAGTGTGATACAATAGGCCAAATGGGATGTAACCAAAGCATGTGTCACTGTAGCCAGCTGTTTCAAGGAATGGGCACAGTTGGTGCACAGGTTTTAATTGTGCAAATGCACTCCTGGCCACTGCTGAAACTTGGGCATCCATGTTGATGTGGCATGCAGAGTATAGCAGATTATAGTGAACAGCTTCTTCCATCAGCCTTCCCATGCTAAAAGCATGCAGACACTTGTTGTAGTTCTACAGTAGAGCTTTATTGTTCCATAAAGTAAATAAAAAAAGAAAAACATACAATCCACCATAGGATCACATCTTGCTGACGTTGTAGAAAAAAAAAAGTTACAGATCCATGTTTCCAGATCCAGGAGTTACATTGTAAAAGCAATATAAGCATACTCAAAAACTAAAAATCAAAAACTAACTCCATAGTTAAAAACACTGCCGAACACATGCGCGCACACACACACACACACACACACACAGTGCTTGCATATATGACCAAAACCAGACAAAGGATACTTTGGCCCTTCCCATACTCCACCTTCTGGGTGTTAACCTTATGCTGATTATATAATTCCTGTATGATGTATTTTAACCCAGCCTCTAGTTGTCCATCATCCCCCATGTGACTACTTTCCCATGAGCTCACCTTGTTGTTGTACTGACTATCTTTTTCCCAACTAAAACTGTACTTGTTTATGTCTTCTTGACCACCTGCTGTTGAGTTCTCTTTGGGGGAAAGCAGACAGTGCAAAGGGCCATTTTGGGGGCAAGGAAGGGGAAGGGAAGCTGCACGGTGGGCGCCCCAACCCCTTCCCGAAGGCATCGTCAGAGTGCTGGCCCCTCTGCACAGCCGGCGCTCCGATGATGCCTTCCCGCCGGAACGTCCGCAAACACTGCAGCGGAAGAGTCGCCGAAGGTGTGCCGCCAGCCTTTTGCGGTGCACCTTCGGCGACTTGTGGAAGGAGTGCTATTTTAACGTTCCTTCCAGGGGTGGCGAAGCTGCGCCGCAGGGCCGAGATGTGGGGATACCTCAGCCCCGTGGCGCAGCTTCCCGGAGCGGCCCAGGGCAGCCCGTCTGCTTCCCCCCCTTTTTTCTCTAGATGTTGTTTTCATGAGGAAATTTCCACACACACATATCTACATTTCTCCTTTGACTGTATAACCCAGGGGTAGGCAACCTTTCCCCTTTAAGGGCCGAGGGACTTCAGCTCCCAGAATCCCAGGAGCTATTGGCCAATATGGGAGTATTGGCCAACATGGCTGAGGCTTCTGGGAGCTGAAGTTCCTCGGCCCTTAAAGGGGAAAGGTTGCCTACCCCTGGTATAACCCATCTATAGTCCAACAATCCAGGTTCAGAGTTGAGTCCAGGAGCACATCCAAACTGTGAGCCTGAGATTTCAAGGGGAGTGTAACCCCATCCATCTCAGACACAGCCCCAAATCTCTGATCTGCCTTACATCTGAACAGGAGCACCTCTGTCTTGTCTGGATTAAGCTTCAATTTGTTTGCCTT